GGACACAGCCCAGTACATCAAGGGTGGGGTTGTGCGCAAGGCTGTAATTGTGACCCAGGGATCCGAGAAGCAGACAGAAGAGCAACAGGACCTGGAACAAAATATGGATGAGGTGACAAAAGTCACAGCCACAACAGAAGGGACAGAAAGCCCAGCAGATGCCCCGCACAGCCCCACAGACAATGCCCCTGTTCTGCTGGACACAGACGAGTACAACAGGACAAAGGTCCTGGGCAAGGGTGTAATTGCGATCCAGGGAACCAAGCAACAGCCAGAAGAACTGAGGGACCTGGAAAAAAGTACAGATGAGGTGACAAGAGCAACAGCCACAGCAGCAGGGGCAGAGATACGCAGGCACATACTCCACACAGCCCCACGCAACGCTACAGACGATGCCCCTGTTCTGCTGGACACAGCTCAGTACATCAGGACTGAGGTCATCCGCAAGGCTGTAATTATGACCCAGGCACCTGTTCTGCAACTGGAAGAACAGTGGAACCAGGAAGGAAGCATGGATGAGGTAATGGCAGCAACAACCACAACAGCAGAAGTGTCAGAGAGCCCAGTATATGCCCCGAACTGCCCCACACCTGATGCTCCAACTCTACTGGACACATTCCAGTACATCAGGAATGAAGCCCAGGACAAGGCTATACTATTAGTCCAGTGTCCTGAACAACAGCCGGAAGAACAGCGAGACCTGGAACAAGGCATGGATGAGGTTCTGAGAGCAATAACCACAGCAGCAGGAGCACAGAGCCCAGCACATGCCCTGCACAGCCCCGCAGACAATGCCCCCACTCAGCCAGACACAGACGAGTACAACAGGACAAAGGTCCTGGGCAAGGGTGTAATTGTGATCCAGGGAACCAAGCAACAGCCAGAAGAACTGAAGGACCTGAAACAAAGCACAGGAGAGGTGATGAGAGCAACAGCCACAGCAGCAGAGGCAGAGGTTCTGGCACATACCCTGCACAGCCCCGCAGGCAATGATCCAGCTCTGCTGGACACAACCCAGGACATCAGGGGTGAGGTCGTGGGCAAGGCTGCTCTAAACAGTTCTCTAAAGAGTTCCAAACAGCTGTCGAAAGTACAGCAGAACCCAGAAAAAGGTGCGAATAACACGGTGAAAGCAACAGCCACAGCAGCACGGACTGCTCCAACAGCCAGAAGAACAGCAGGACCAGAAAGGAAGTATGGACGAGGCACAGGCAGGACCAACCTCATCAGTAGGGCCAGAGAGCCCAGCAAACGCCCCCCAAAGCCCCACAGCTGAAGCTCCAACTCTGCTGGACACAACCCACTACGTCAGGAGTGGGGTCCTGGGCAAGGCCGCTCTTGCAGCCCTGGGACCTGTCCAGCAGACAGAAAAACAGTGGGGCTGGTAAGGAAGCATGGATGAAGCAACAGCATCAGGAATAGCTGCATCCAGCTGCCCCAGGGACTTGGCACTACCAGTATATCCTTGTCCATGGCTTCAGGGGACCCACCTATGATTTGATGCGGACACATTTTGAGGCTAATAAAATGTGACGATTTTCCAACAGTGTTTCCCTGTTTCATTTTGCCCTCTCTGTACCTCCTTGTATTTACAGGTTCCCAGGACTGCTGGCAGGAGGTCTTAGTGCTCCTAATGTTCAACTCCTTTCAAAGCAAGTTGCTATAGTTTAAATCCTATAGTTCAAAATTTCCTCTTTCCATGGATTTGGGAGGAAACAAAGGAGACATTCCCGCTGTTAGCTCTGAGATCCTGCAGTACACAGCAGGGCTGTAGCCAGCTGACAAATTGCCCTCCCGCTACATGAACCTGTCTGCATATGAATCTTTTATCTCTCACTTCTTGGCAAGGAAAACCCAGAAACCTTTAAATAAAATCTGATTTAATATTGACAGCTCCTTTTGAGAGTAGCAGTAGGGAATGGGAGCACACGACCTTTGCTGCTCAGCCATAATGGCTTTATTTATTTCTGGACAGTGACTGACAGTAATGACATTACACATTTTACCACCATCTTTTTTTTCATCTGATTATGTACAAAACTTCACTTTATAGTACTTCACTCTATTTACATCAAATTTTGCAAAATTTACCTTTGTGGCTGAAGAGAATACCCATTTTTCCAGGGGACAAATCTAATGGACTCTTTCAGACAACGAAGACAGTTTAATTTAATTTATGGAATCATAGAACATGCTGAGTTGGAATCAAGATCATCAAGTCCAACTTCTGGCCTTGCACAGGACAGCCCCAAGAATCACACCAGAGCACTGTCCAAACATTTTTTGAACTCTGTCAGTCTTGCTTCTGTGACCACTTCTCTGGGGAGCCTGTTCCAGCGCCCAACCATGCTTTGGGTGAATAACCTTCTCTTAATATCCAACCTAAACCTCCCCTAACTCAGCTTCACACCATTTCCTTGAGTCTTGTCACTGGTCACCAGAGAGAAGAGATCAGTGTCTGCCCCTCCTCTTCCCCTCCTGAGGATGTTGAAGACACGATGAGGTCTCTCTTCTATCTCCTCTTCTCCAGGCTGAACAAACAAAGTGATCTCAGTTGTTTCTCTTATGGCTTCCCCTCCAGACCCTTCACCATCTTCATGGCCCTCCTTTGGACATTCTCTAACAGCTTAATGTCTTTTTTGTATTGTGGTGCCCCAAACTGCACACAGGACTTGAGGTGAGGCTGCCCCAGTGCAGAGCAGAGCGGGACAATCCCCTCCCTCAGCTGGCTGGTGATGCTTTGCCTGATGCCCCCCAGGACATGGTTGGCACTGCTGACTCATATTCAACTTGCCATCGACCAGGTCCCCCAGGTCCCTTTCCACAGCACTTCTCTCGAGCCTCTCGTTCCCCAGTCTGCACCCACAACCAGGATTGCCCCATGCCAGATGCAGAATCCAACACTTGCCCTTCTTAAACTTCCCATGGTTTGTGACTGCCTATCGCTCTAATTTGCTGAGGTCTCTCTTCAGGGCCTCTCTACCCTCAGGGGACTTGACAGCTCCTCCCAGTTTAATGTTGTCTGCAAACTTTCTTAGTATCCCTTCAAGTCCTGTGTCCAAGTCATTAATGAAGATGTTGAAGAGTACTGGGCTCAAGATGGAGCCTGTGGAACCTCACCAGTGACGGGTCACCAGTCTGATATTACCCCATTCACTATAACTCTTTGTGCCCAACATGTGAGTCAGTTGCTCACCCATCACATGATGTATTTATCTAGCTGTGTGCTGGACATTTTGACCAGAAGGATGCTGTGAGAGACAGCATAAAATGCTAAGGTCCAAATAGATTACATCTCGACTAGGTAGGTCACCTTGTCATAAAAGGAAATCAAGTTCGACAAGAAGGATTTTCACTTCATGAAGCCATGCTGGCTGTGACTGATGACTATGTTGTCCTCCAGGTGTTTTTCAATACCTCCCAGAATAATCTCCTCCATAAGCACTGAAGTGGGACTGACAGGCCTGGAGTTTCCAGGGTCCTCCTTCTTGCCCTTCTTCAGAACCGGGACTTTAACCAGCTTCCAGTCTGCTGGGACCTCTCCAGTTTCCCAAGAACACTCAAAAATCATTGAGAGAGGTTTTGCAATGACATCACAGCTTTTTGAGGATTCTCAGATGAATTCCATTCAGCCCTATATATTTGTAGGGATCCAGCTGGAGCAGCAGATCCCATACAAGTTCATGGTCATCTGAGAGTTTATCTTTCTCACAGTCATGGTCTTCCAATTCAGGCCGCTGGGACCTCCTTAGCCTGTTGTCAGTGTTGAAGACAGAGGTGAAGAAAACACTGAACATTTCTACCTCGTCCATGTCCCTGTTTATGAGGTGACCATCCTCATCCTCTAACAGGCTGATTTTATTTCTGCACTGACTCTTGCCATTAATTTATTTGAAAAAAGTTGGTATTGCCCCCCACATTTCTGGCCAACTTCAAGTCCAGTTGAGCTTTGGTCACACGATTTTTCTCCCTACCATGGCAAGCAGTATCTCTGTGTTCTTCCCATGTCACCTGACCTTGATCCTACTGGATATACACCTTCCTTCTTTGCCTTATTTCCAGAAGAAGATCCCTAGTCAGCCAAGCCAGTCTTCTACCTCATCTCCTTTACTTCTGGCTTTTAGGAATTGCCTGCTCCTGTGCCCTTGGCAGGTGATGTTTAAAAAGTGACCAGCACTGATGGACCCCAGCACATGAAAAAACTTTTTCACAAGGCACTATACTTACTAGTTCCCTGAGTAGTCTGAAGTCTGCTCTCCTCATGTCCAGAGCTGAAGCTTTGCTAGCACTTTTCCTGTCAACAGAGATTTTTAAACTCAATAAGCCTCATCAACCAGCACAAATCTCTCCTAGTAAGATGTTTTGTATTTAGTGGACAAACCCCCAACCTTCCTTGCAGTGATTCATTGTTGGATGACCACATTGGGAGTGACTTGAACAGTGGCGAAGAGGTGAAAATAGAGCTCTTGCTACTTCTTTAATGTTTGTTTTTCAGATTAGAGCCCGCACCGGATCTGTTCCCAAACACACCTGACCTCCACTGTTTCATTTTTTGCGTGGGTAAACGAAGCATTTCATTTCCAGTGCTATCAGACTTGGACTTCTGACAAGCATTTGCCTGCAATACTAAGGCAAGATCCTGTTGATTTTAGCAATTTTCCAGCGTTGTTTGTTTTGGCCTTGTGAAGAAGTCCTACCAGCAGTGGTGAACTGATACCATCTCTGAAACAACCCTCATTATCAGAGAACACTGTGACCAGGGAATAGAGATCATGTGAAGGAAGGCACTTCCTCTCCCTGCCTCCATTCCAGCTCTTGGAGTAACTGCCATGCCAAAGGTAACAGGAGGATGCATACTGAAATACATCAGTGTTTGCTCATACTGTTCTCATATTTTTCAGCAAACCATTCTCTTTGCATGTAAAGAAACACCTTCCTAAATGATTATAGCAGGATTTAAATTCTGTTTGCATCATCTGAAATGAATACTTTCTTCACTCACCCTGCAAGGTGTGAAAAATGCAGTTGAGCTGAATGCTCACAGAACCCACTTGATGGAGAGCCATGGGTTAGCTCATACATGGAGAAGTACGGTATGGAAAGAACATCTTGCTAACAAAGACTGATCACTGTCTGACTGTGTCCATGCTTATCCGAGCTCTCTCCTGATAACAAAACATGTTACTGCTATAGTTTTACTCATCTGAGACTAGCAAAACACGCACTTGTTGAACAAGAAACACACTTCACATGCAGAGGAGATCCTGGAACACGAGAGGCTGGTCCCAGACTTACCAAAGTCAGTAGGAAAATTCCTCCTGAACGTTTCAGGCCTGCTGGGACAGGCTTCAAATGAAGACAGTGGGGTAGATGAGACAGAACTTCTCCCTTAATCTGCCAAGACCTTGATGTTAAAAACATAAATGCAAACAGCAAAACCAACTACAGTCTTGGTCCTCATAATGAATTGTCAGGACTGACTGCCAAAAAAGACATGTTTATTGAGTAGTTTTTTGACTTAAAAGAAAATGGCCAGTGTTGGTTGCTTTTTTTAATTTTTCTTTTTTAATTAAGAGACATCTATGCTGCATTTATATCACTAAACAAAAAAGGGTCAGGGAGTGATCTTGCATGCTGGACTGCTGATCACCCAGCCTGACTCACAGACAACACTTCTAAGCCCAGGACAAATGCTACCTCCCAGAGAAGAATATGGGTGAAACTGCACCTTGTGTGGCTCTCTCAACTTGGCAAATTCCCCAATTCCCTCCTGTCGGATTTGGCACCCTCAAACTCCCTGGATGCTCTTGTACTGTAAATGCAATGCACACCTGTGGTTTTATGCAATGAGAATACTCCACCACTGACCCACAATACAGTCCTCACTTTAGGTCAGGGACTTGGAGATTAGAGGAAAAAGGAGGAAAAAATAGTAACTGTCTATGTGGCTGGAAGGACTCTATATGAGACTCAGAGAGATCCAAAGCCAAGTGACACATAGATGAGGTGTGGCTGTAATATCTCAGGGCTAGAGCACAGACAGTCATCTTGTTTTGTTTAGCAGTATAAAGGTAACTTAAGCCTTGTATCTTGGGACCAGGAGAAATTAAAGTCATAAAGGATGTTCAGACCATCTGGGTTTTTTTCCTGTTAAGCTTGTTTTCCTTAATTTCAGTAATACTTTTTTATTATACATTTATATAACACTTTCAAAAGCATCCTGCTTGCCTCAGCTGCTATATTTCCTACTACTGTCACTAATATTTGTTGCAAAAATCAGTGGCTGCCTGCTTCTGTGATATGGCTCTTTTCTTTATTCTCCCTCCCCCAATCCTTTTTTTTTATCTTTGAATAATGTAATATATACACTCAGCAGCTACCATTTGGTGCAGCATGAGCTACTTCTTCTCTGTTTTTTGGCACAAAGACTGAGAGCTGAAAATACAGCTAAGGCCGACACAGTTTTCAGTCAAACATATAGAAGTTGTATATTCTGCTTTCTTTAAGCACCAAATTTGTTTAGCCTCTCCCAGGAATGAGCCCC